AGTTATAATCTGAAGAAAGAAAGGTTTGCATTAATATAGCACCATTCAGCAGAAGAAAGCCAATGTTGCAGTCACACCTTATGTTACAACTTTGTGACAAGCTGCAGTACAGGACTATCCAATAATGCCAGGTTATCACCTGGAAATAGAACATAGAATAGTACAGCACAGGAACTGGTCAGATCCCAGAGTGAATGTAAAAGGAACAATTTTACTAAAGTTTGAAGGTTCCTTACATGTAGAGATATTCCAGAGTTATTGCTAACATAAATCTTCACCTTGCAGCATTGACTTAAAGCATTAGTGCTACATCCCTCAATAGATACCTCTTGGTCTGTCCAATATTTCTCTATCTATGATTAGATCTATGGGACTTCCTAACCATCACCCCCAGGACCGCCTCTTGATGATGGGTGATCTGTGACTCAGTGGATACCACTCGCATGTCGATCAGAAAGCTGTGACTGACTCCAAGTCCCATTCCAGAGATTTGATTGGAGAAAACATGGCTGATGTTCTCAGTGGGAGTGCTCCAACACTGAAATTTGCCATCTTTCAGAGAACATTGAACCTGTCAACTCTCTCAAGTTGATATAAAAGATCCCATGGCACTAATTTTAAAAAAAAAAGGAAGAGGGAATCCTGGAATCGGTACCCTGGCAAATAGTCAATATAATATGAAGTATTTCGATGTGCACTTGCAATGCCAAGGCTGTGGGCCAAGTGCTAGAAAATGAGATTAGAATCATTAGGTGCTTGTTTTTGACAGGCTTAAACTGAATGGGCTGAAGGGCCTTTTCTGCGCTGTAGACCTCTATGACTAATTATAACAAATCATCTGGTCATTATTGTTTGGTTAAAAATGTGGATGCTATAAATCAGGAGGGAGCAAAAACAGAGGTTGCTGGAAAAGCTCAGCAGGTCTGGCAGCATCTGAGTTTTGGTTTTGTTTGGTTTCTGATCATTACTGTAATGTGGTTGGTGGGATCTTGCGGTGTGCGGATTGGCTGCTGTATTTCCTACATGACACCAGTCATTTCAGAACTAGTCTTTTAGCATTAAAGCACTTTGTGAAGTCTTGAGGGGGTGAAGAGTGTTGTATAAATCCAAGGTAGAAAGGTAGACATATAAATCCAAGCCTTTCTTTTCTTCTCAGTTACATACTCAATCTCATTAGAAGCGTTGACACTTATTTAAGTGTCTGATTATTGTAATTTAAGAGAAAGTTTGTTTCCTTTGGGAGTTAGTTTGGAAAAATCATCTGTTATTCTTTGCTGTCCTTGTTTAACTGGGAGAAACATTTCTAGATTCTTGTGGTTGCAGTTTTATGTCCTGCAGGAGGAGAAGGCACTTGGCAAAAGTAGGGGAGTGTTTATAAAATCACATACTACATCATCACAGTCACCATTTATGTACATTCTGTATCCTGCCTCTCATCATGGTTTAGTAAAATTTTACAGTTAAAATATCCCTGATTAAATGATTCCCTTTTCCTAATAAGTACAGAAAGAGTTCATTTTGATGTACGCTCCTTTTGTTGGTAGCTCCCTACGAGACTTGTCCTGGCATGCTCACTATGCTCTGTTAAACATCTTCAAGACAGATCAGTCAGTTTGCAGTGCAGTGTTGTATTCATTTATTTTCCTGCTTAAGCTGCGAGAGGATGCTGTACATATAAACTGCATCGACATCTGTGAACAAAATCATTTACAGGAAAAGTTGCGCACACAGACCTACAGATCGTATCAGATAGGAAACAATTTTCTGATTCATCCAACCTGCCCCCCATAATCCATGTATATTTTGCATCATGATGTAGATGACACCTACTGTTGTGAAAATCAGGAGTATGATAGAATATTATTTATTTGCCCAGATGGGCACAGCTCCAACAACACGTTCAAATTTTTTAATTCATAATGGCACTGAAGGAGGCCATTCAGCCCATCGTGTCTGCACTAGTTCTGCAAATGAGCATCACTAACTTAGTGCCATTCTGTAAACTGTTGCACATTCCTGAATGCCCCAACTGAACTTGCCCTCACTGAACTTCCAGGCAATGCATTCCGCACCTGAACCACTCATAGTGTGAAATGCAAACTTCAACACCATCCAGGGCAAAACATCCTGCTTATTTGGCACTCCATCCCACCTCCCTTAACATCCATTCCCTCCACTGACACTCATTAGCAGTGGCGTATACCATCTACAAGATGCATTGCAGTAATTCACCAAGGCTCCTTTGATAGCACCTTCCAAAGGTATGACCATTGCCATCGAGAAGGACAATGACAGCAAATACATAGGAGCACTATTACCCACAAGTTCCCCCTCCAAGCCACTCACCATCCGAACTTGGAAATATATTGCCGTTCCTTCAATATTGCGAGGTCAAAATCCCAGAACTCTCCCCATAACAGCGGCTCAGGTCTACTTACACCAAATGGCCAGCAGTGGTTCTAGAACGCAGCTCAAGGGCAGCAATGACCCACACTCTCAAAGAATGAATAAATAAAAGTAAACTCACATGATCTCCTGGGAGATAAAAACACGGGCCAACTTGGGAAGGAAAAAATTCTTGAAAACTTTTCTCTGACTTCAACCCTCCAGGCCTTCTGGGAGATTGGATCTAGATGAGAGGACTATTCTGGCCATGATAATTTCCAGCTTTGCCTAGCTTTGGGAGAAGCATCTTAACCGTTTTTTTTTGATGCCTCAGGGTGTGATCCTGAAGTGCACTGATAAAAAGACACTATTTGATTTTCCATTGTGTTCCATGGTTGGTCTGTTACTAGGCTGAGAGATCAAAGGGCATGGGTCACCCACAATCTCTATAGTGGTTGGAAGGTTACCTCTGAGGGTAGGGCATTAAGGGACAGAGATCCCACAGTAGCTGTAATTTCCACCGTGCTAATGGGGTTCAAGAGGCAGAGTCGAGTTTTAGAGGAACAGAAGGAAAAAGAAACAAATCGAGACTGCCCCAGTGAATCTGAGAGGTCAGCAAACTATGGTGTTTATTATTTCTACATTAGTAATCAGAATCTCATTCAATGTAGTGAAAAGCCTTTCACATGCGGGACCCATGGTGAGTGATTGAGCAACTACATGAAATATTCAGCCAAGCATTAAGCAAAGCTCAAACATGGCAAGAAAGCTCTTCCATACTCAACAAACATTAAGGCACTAATGTCAATGAGGTTTTAACTTGGAAATTTTTGCAACATAAACCTCATGCAGTGCTCGAGACATTATAAACTTTAGTGAGGATATTAGTGTGTACATGTGTTTGTGTGACAATGTGCATGTGTCACCCTGTTTGTGTGTCGGTGTGTTTGTGTGTGTGTCGGTGTGCCTGTCTGCATTTGTGTGTCAGTGCACTTATATGTGATAGTGTGTCACTCTGTGTGTGTGTGTGTGTCATTGTGTCTATGTGAGTGTGTGTCACTGTGTGAGTCATTGCGTGTGTGTGTGTGTCTGTCTGTCTGTCTGTCACTGTGTTTGTGTGTGTGTCAGCATGTTTGTGTGTCAGTGTGTGTTTGTGTGTCACAACATTTGTGTGTTTGTGTGTCAGTGTGTGTTTGTGTGTCAGTGTGTGTTTGTGTGCCTGTATGTGTGTTAGTGTCACTGTGTTTGCATGTCAGTATGTCTGTGTGAGTGTGTGTCACTGTGTTTGTGTGTGTCAGCATGTATTTGTGTCCATGTGTGTGTGTCAGTGTCCATGTGTATGTGTCAGCGCACGTGTGTGTCAGTGTGTGTATGTGTGTCAGTGCATGTGTGAGTGTGTTTGTGTGTCAGCGTGTATGTGCATGCGTCAGCGTGTTTGTATGTCTGTCAGTGTGTCAGCATATGTGTGAGAGTGAAAGCTGTGATATTTAATAAATGCATGCATTCTTCCTTCAAAAGAGAGGAATGGTATAGAAAGTTATAGTGTATAATTTTGAATGAAATTTTTATTGGTTTAAGGGAAACTTGACATAAGTTTAATCTTCCTCTAAGTCAAATGGTCCCATGGCCAATTCTTAGGTTTTACAGCATGTTTGCAACACACGAACTGATCCATGTCAGCTCAACAAAAGCCTCTTTCCACCCCCACCATCTGATCCCATCAACATTTCATTCTATTCCTTTTTCCTTCTTACGTTCATCTGGTTTCCCCATCACCCCATGCCTCTGTCTTATTCACCACACCGCCTCCTGGTGGTCATGAGTTGCACATTCTCATCACTCTCTGAGTGATCTGCATTCAGTTTATTAGTGACCATTTCATACTTAAGGCCCCTGCTTCATGCTTCCCCCACATGTGGAAATATCGTCTCTACATCTACCCCATCAAACCCATGTATAGAATAATGTTGATGACCACTATATGGGCACTGCTTAGTATTTTCTCTGGCTATTGTAAACTTGATACCAGGTCTTTTCTTCCTGGATATTATAAACCTTTAGCGAGGATATTTGTGTGTCACAGCCTTTTCAATTTTTCCAGATTATGATAACCCTCTTTTTTTTTATCTTGCACCTTTTCCAGTCCCTCTACATCCCTCTTAATAATGTAGGGATCAGATCTGTGTGATTTTGCGTGTATGCATTTAAACATATGAATTAGGAGCAGGAGTAGGTGCCCCTGGAGCCTGCTGTGTTGTTCAATAAGATCTGGCTGCTGTGATTGTAACCTCAAATCCACATTCCCGAATAACCCTTACTAGCCAAGAAACTATCTATCCATCTCTGACTTAAAAAATATACAATGGCCTCACCTCCACTCTCTGGTTAAGCGTGTTCCATAGACTGACAACCCTCCCAGAGGAAAAACCATACCCCTCATCGCTGTCTTAAACTGTGTCCCTTAGTTGGAATCTGTCTGCAAAGGGATATATCCTTGGAGCAACAGCAACCCCCCACCCCACCCAAAAGCCCCACAAGTATCCTCAGGCTTTTACATTTTGTTGCAGTAAATGCTTCAAGTTATTCATTGCCATCTTCTCGCTTCACCATTTCAGGGAGAGCAAGCTCACCATGTTGCTGCGGGAATCCCTTGGCAACTTGAACTGCCGAACCACCATGATCGCCCACATCTCAGCTTCCTCCAGCAACTACTCCGAAACCCTGTCCACCATCCAGATCGCATCGCGAGTCCTCCGAATGAAGAAGAAGAAGACAAAGGTACGTGAGAGGACCCCATACATGCAAAACTGGGTCGCCCTTGACATTTGCTTGCCTGACTATTTATCTATTCCCTCTGATCGAATCAGTCTTGTAGCAATGACTGAGTTAAATTGTCAGGCTGGGAGGCTGAAAACAACCTTCACCTCTGGCCCAAAGTTTAAAATTCTTACTCTTGTCTTCAGTGATTTGATTTATTATTGTCACATATATCCAGATACAGTGAAATGTAGTGTCTTGCTGCTATCCAGACAAATCAGAATCCTTACAGTGTGAAAGCAGGCCCTTTGGCCCAACAAGTCCACACTGACCCTCAAAGCATCCCACCCAGACCCATTCCCCTATAACCCACCTAATCTACACATCCCTGAACACTATGGGCAATTTAGCATGGCCAATCCCCCTAACCTGCATATTTTTGGACTGTGGGAGGAAACTGGAGGAAACCCACACAGACACGAAGAGAATGTGCAAACTCCACACAGATGGCTGCGTAAGGGTAGAATTGAACCTGGGTCCCTGGTGCTGTGAGGCAGCAGTGCTAACCACTGAGCCACCGTGCTGCCCCAAGTCCTACTTTACGTAAGTAGATGAGGGTAATAGAACAGAATGCAGAATATAGTGTTACAGCCACAGAGAAGGCGCAGAGAAAGACCAACCCTAACGTCTGAGAGTTCGGTTCGTAAGTCTGATAACAGCGGGGAAGAAGCTGTTCTTGAATCTGTTGGTACATGTTTTCAAACTTCTGTCTGACGGAGAAGAGTGGAAGAGAGTATAACAGGGGTGGGACGGGTCTTTGATTATGTTGGCTGCTTTCCCGAGGCAGTGAGACAAGGAACAAGATGAATATGAAGAAGGAACAAGAACAGGCCACTCAGCCCTTCAAAGCTGCTGTACCATTCAATAAGATTGTAGCTGATCTGTTTTTTAGCTTCAGCCATACATTTCTGCATATCACCAATAATCTTTCACCCCCTCAGTCATCAAAAATCTAACTGTACCGTAAAAACTTTTAAAGATTCTGCATCAGCTCTATTTTGAGGAAGGGAATTCTGAAGATTCCCAATGCTCTAAAAGAAAACAAAAATGTTTTCTCATCTCGTTTTAAATGGGTAACCCCTTATTATTAAACTGTGACCATTAGTTCTAGATTAACCCACAAGAGGAACCATCTTTTCCACATCCACCTGGTCAAGTCCCCTCAGGATCTTACATGTTTCAAATGAGTGACCTCTGACTGTTCTAAACTCCAGAGGATATAGGCCCAACCAGTCTGGTCTTTCCTCATAAGGCAGTCCACTCCTTCCAGGTATTAGTCAAGTAAACCTTCTCTGAACTACTCTTGCCTAATAATCTTCTCTCTTCCCTATCTCTGAAACCCCCTCTGGCTTCACAATTTCCACGTTCCTTCAATTTAACAGCCTCTTGGGAATAGCTTTTAAAGTTATCTTGTGGGATATGGATGTGGCTGGCATAAGCCCACATTTCTTGCCTGTTCCAAACTGCCCCTTGAGAAGGTGGTGATGAGCTGCCATCTTGAACCCACTATTATCCACATGGTCCAGGCACAGTCTGGATTTGAATCGCTCCACTATTGGTAGTGGCACTGCATTAGTATTACACACTCTGCTCCTGGGTTCAAATCCCACCGGTGAAATTTGAATTCAATAAGAAAAATTCTGGATTAAAATGCTAGCCTTATGTGTAACACTGTGTAACCACTGTCAAATATTGACTGGTGACTGCAGACCCATAGCAATGTGATTGTCTGTTAACTGCTCTCTGCACATCTGAGGGGGATTCATAGGCTGTGTATATGGCCCATAACCTCGCTACATGCTGCCGATGATGATCAAATATGAGTAATTGTTACTTGTACATAACGCTGCCCTGAGGAGATTACAATCTACTTTAGACCGAAGTACAGTGTGCCTCTTACACCCCATAATTATCAACGATAGCGTGGCGAAATCCTGTGTAGGTACATTTCTGAAAAAGGGTCTAGGCCCAAAACGTCAGCCTTCCTGCTCCTCTGATGCTGCTTGGCCTGCTGTGTTCATCCAGCTGTACACCGTGTTATCTTAGGTACATAAAAAGCCAGTCGTTGCACCTGACTTAGAACAACAAAGATTCAAGTGGGGGTGAAGTGTTAACCATGAGGTAAGACTTACGTTTATAAGGCATTTTTCACCAGTCCTGGATTTCTCAAAGTGCTGTCTGTACAGATGATGTAGCACTTTATGAAGCTACAGTACAGGAACACGGCAGACAATTTGTTGACAACAATCTCCCACGCTCCGCAACTTGATAATGACCGGATCGTCTGTTCTTGTGATGTTTATTGCGGGAGAAATATTGACTGGAACATCAGGGAAAACTCTACTGCTCTTCTTCAAGTCTTCTCTGTTTAACATCTCAAACAAGAAAAAAAGAACCCTTGAAAAATATATTCATGGGATGCATGTCACTGGCTAGGCCATCCCCTAATTAGCCAGAGGGCAGTTGAGAATCAATCACATAGCTGTGGGTCTGGAGGCCAGACCAGGTAAGGACGACAGACTTCCTTCCCTAAAGGACATGAGATATTGCCAATGGTGCCCAGATCCCGGGAAAGAATGCAAAGGAAAATCCTACTGGCTTGATGTTGCGCTGCTGAGGGAGTACCGAATGTGGGCATCTTTCTGGATCATGTAAAAGCTATCTGCTATCTTCAGTGGGTGTCAAAACACTGGTGTTCGTTATTGGCAGGACAGCAAGGGAGTTCTCCTGGCCAACGTTCATCTCTCAGCCTGGAACCATTGCTTGTCGCAGGCTCACCGTTAGAAATGTGACGGAGCGCTGACTGGATGGGATTTAAGGGGACATGTTGCCATGGCTACCTGGAAGGAGGGGCAGAGTCTGACTCCACCAAATTAACTGCAAAATGCACACACCTCGATTCATTGGCAACAGACCCTACTAGTGGGTAAGCCTTCATTTCACCTTGTCTACCTCACCTTCGGAACGCACCACCCCCCAGCTGACTCGGCTCTGATTGGATCTGGTGGAACTGAACGCTGCTGTGAGCAGAGCTCAGGAACTGTTAATCCACCAATTCCAGGGGGCAGCAACACATCCGAGTCCCCATGGCCAATGGATGCAGCATCCTATCAAACTCCACAGTACAGTCAGTGTCCTGGGGGTTTGTGGGGGCTTGCGATCACAGTTACCCAATATAGCCATTTGTAGCAATGTTCAGATAGTTTATTGAGTTGGTTAAGAAGCAGCAGTTTAGGTATGATACATTATTTAAGAAGACAGAAGAAGTATACAACAGTGATAATTGGGGATGGTGCACCAATCCCAGAGGCTATGGGCATGGAATGTGTTAGTCTTGTTAAACTTGTAAAGCGCCGTCCTGCACCTTCTCCAAGGTGTTGAGGAACTCTTCCCTGGGTCATCCTCCTCCCCCCTGTTCTTCTTCTTCTTCTTCTTCTTCTTCTTCTTCTTCTTCTTCTTCTGGTGGTGGTCCATCTTCCATCTGGAGAAAGCAGCTCTCTCTGACAGGGCCTGCTGCATACATTGATGGCCTAATGAGGGTGGCCCAATGAGACCACCTGATGAAGACTGCCTAATGAGGACCCACAATGTGGACCGTCCAATAAGGAGCCACCTCATGAGAGCAACCTGATGAGGACCGCCCAATGAGGACCACCCAATAAGGACTGCCCAATGAGAGTGACCTAATGAGGACCACCCAGTGAGGACCACCCAATGTGTACCACCCAATGTGGACCACCCAATAAGGACCGCCCAATGAGAGTGACTTAATGAGGACCACCCAATGAGGACCACCCAGTGAGGACCACCCAATGTGGATCACCCAATGAGAGTGACCTAATGAGGACCACCCGGTGAGGACCTCCCAATGAGAACCACCCAATGTGAACCACCCAGTGAGGATCACTCAATGTGTATCACCCAATGTGAACCACCCAGTGAGGACCACCTAATGTGAACCACCC